TATATTCCTTCGGTCTGGCTGAAGGTTGGGTATAATGAGACTGCGGTGCTCCTGATGGTGGAGGTTGTTGCTGTGTGCCAGGTATAGGTAACTGTTGATAAGGCACGTGTAATGGTTGTGGCTGATAGCCTGAAAGGTTAGGCTGACCCAGACTTGGGTACGTTAAACCAGATATGTATTGTTGGTTGTAAGACGGTAAATTTGTTGGTGCCTGTGGCGGTGGTCCACCTCTAGGAGGCTTGAACATTGATGTTGGGTGACCAATCATCTTAGGTGGTTGGGTCCTTGGTACAGAACTGAACGGTTGAAACCTTGTTTCTTGATAAGTTGGTTGTTGATGAACAACCGCATTAACCTGTTGATGTTGTTGTTGTAGCTGCTGTTGAGGAAAAGAAACCGGCGCTGCAGCTGGATGTTGTTGCCGCACAGGTTGTGCATAGTTAATGATCCCTAGTTGAAGCTGGTCTAGTCTTTGTTGTAGGCCTTGCACTTGCAGTTGCATTTGCACACTTTGTTGAACTGGCAACAAAGGATGTTGAACTTTGTTGACGCCTTGTTGTTGGTTGGTGGGACAACTATTTTGCCGTTGAAGATAGGATAACTGATGGTGACTGACATCAGTCTGATTTTGTACGGTTGGTTGTTGACTCTGGTTGACTTCCAGTCGGTGTGGACTGTTGTAACCATGTTGACATCCTGATGACTATGTTCAAAAATTGGTTGTTGAAGGTGTGCAAAATTTGACGGTGTTGTTGGTTGATGTTCAACACTAAATGACTGGTAAAGAGGGCTGTTGACCTCTTGTTGATGGTGGTGTTCATGTTGTACACTTGGTGAAAAGTGAACATGGTCAGGTGTAGGTGTATGTAAGAACCGTGGTTGTTGGTTATAATCTGTAGTTGGTCCAGGACTGTTATATCTTGGTGGAGTCTGTTGCACCTCTTGTTGACGGTTGCAATCCTCCTGTTGATCAACTACAGGGTGTGGAATATGCCAGTTCTGGCTAAGTGGTGAGAACATTCTGTCATTTTGGTTGTTTTTGGACATCACGGTCCTGTTGACTGTCTGGTTGAGGGCGAACAACCATGTTGGTCCTTGGTGATGGAGTACGATACTCACTGTTTTCACAAACACTCAGGTTTAAACTCTCTGTAGAGAGGTTCTCCTGTGGTGGTCCACAAAGTGACTGCTCTAACATAGTTAAATGTTCAGAATGCCTTGATGGTTGTTCCAAGCGACGTTGCTCCCATTCAAGACTGGAGCAGGCTCCTTCCTCTGAGCAAGACGATGCTACCTCATCTTGTGTATCACATTCTTCTAACCATTGTCTTATGTTAGAGTTGAAATCTTGCAGATGCGCAATCTGTTTCTGATCTTCTGTCCGTCTATCTCTTGGGACAGGGTGATAAGGTGGTGCCTCATACTCTGAGCTGCATGAAATATTTGTACCCTTCAAATCCGTACCCTGACACTCCTCTGGGTCCATATCAATTATCACATGATCAGGCTTTGGAGTTGACATCACAGATCCTCCCCTACCACAGCTGGCTTCACTGACCTCAGCCTATGGTCTCGGTGAAAAATCAATAATGCCTAGGGTACCTTCTGTCACTCTCATTGTGGAATTTGGGACAAAACATCTCGATCAATGAGGATACCTTTTCCCCTCATATCCATGATCCTTGCTACTATGGCATCCCCTATGCCAGGTATGCAGGAAAGTATAACCCTAGGACAGGTGTTAATGTTGATCATATACCCTTGACCACTCTGCATAGTGACTTTGTACTTTTTACAAAGTTATTAAATTTATTTGACTTAATTTCAATATAATTTACAAAGCAATATATATATATAATCAACAATAATTCTTTATTCAATAAAAATCAAGTCAATAATAAAATACACAATGGAACAATATAAAATCAACCGCTCTTGTGTTTGTTTACATCCGTTTGTTTACATCCGTATTCCAGAATACAAGATGGCGTCCAAATCTCGCGGCAAAAAAAACTCGCGTGACCTCGCTATGAATTTAGCAAACTTTTCAAAAAGTATATTCCGGCCCAAAAGTACTCAAATACGATGTATTTCAACTAACTTTTACCCAAAAAGTTAAACCCGGGACCTGATACTACCCCCCCCCCCCCAAGATAAAACTACAATTCTCAGGGTTGACTGTCTGTACTCAAAATTTTGGAGATGCCAATATGGCGTTCAAACCCCTGCAGGACCAAAATTTAAACCACCCGCAACTACCAGTAAAGTGTTATTTGGCCTGTCTAGCTGGGCTCTGCGTATACCCCGAGGATTATGTTATATACAGGTGTAAATATGTGAGGATATTAACCTTAAGGTTGATGTTTCCTGCAAGGATTCTCTTGGGTCTTTTTAGTACCGTCTTGATGTAACTAAATACAGGTCAAGAAGAGGCTGAGCGTAGTCAGGCGTGACTCTTGTGTCATGTCTCCATTCGGGACTCTCTGCTCTCTACCAGTCCATATACGTCTCCATTTGGGCCTCTCTGCTCTCTACCAGTAGATCACACCAGACAGAGGGAACCCCCTAGATCTATGGGGCAATTACACAACAATATTTAAGGGATAGCCCACTGAAGATCTATGTCTGACTTGGGGTTACTATAGTAATAGAAAAGTCAACAAAAAGAAAAATAAATATGTAAAACAATACCATATACTAGTGAATTCCAAATTATTAACAGTTATTCCAAAAAATTACTGCAAATTGTATACTAGTATACAAAAATGATTGAATCTCATCTGGAATGAAATTTCGGTCGACACTTAAAGTCATCAAACTCTAATAAACCTTTTATCAATGTTATATTTTCAACCTATTAAAACATTGAAAGTATCAACTTAAATTCAATGTGGATTCAATGTTGACAGTTAAACGTTGATATTTTAAACCACAAATCAACGTTGATTCAACAATGTGATTTACTGAACGTTGGTAGGATTGACGTTGATACAACGTTGATTGTACGTTGATCAACGCTACAACCAAATTTCAACATATTTTCAACGTTGGTTCAATGTTGTGTGCCTGCTGGGATGGGATTGAAAAAGTTTACGTATAAAGTCTATATTAAATATTGCGTATGTGAACGCAGAATGTTTATAAAATTGATCATTATCATCAATGCTTATATGTGAGATCGTAAAAAAGAAATCTAGTTTGCATTTATGCTATTTTGTGACTTATTTGACCTATTAATTTGTAACTGTCATTAATTTTGACATATTTTTTTCTGTTGTGGTTAGCAACATTTGAGTTATAATGCTCGATATGAACTTCATAAAAAAGATGATTGCTCGATTGATGGTAGCTTTACGCTGCACCGTAAAATGCTATATCGCGGGGATGAAATAGAATAAGGATGACTAAGATATAACATTAAAATGTGAAGGCCAATTTTTCAAAGATTGTAAAATTCATACTTCAAAAATTCAAAAAGCCATTTTGAACCGTTCCTAGTCACTATTTCTGTTACTAGGTTGTTGATAGTTACTTAGTTAACTATAATTGAATAGACTTTTATTTTTTTTTTTTTACTAGTTGCCTTATTCAGATCTAGACAATCTGATTTGTATACAGGCATATTTGTGGAATAATGTCTTTAATTTGAACATGTATGGCAGTGGCTGAGCAAGGTTTGTATTGCCATGCTCTAGAAGAAACTTCGTTTAAAAAAGAAAAAGTTGATTGACACATATATGTTATAGTGTACTCAATATATGTTGATTAACATGAACTACAATTGAAACTACTTTTATTTCTTACTGTTACTTATTCTTATACGCCAATCTGATTTGCTTTTATTCTAATTTGTACAATAAAATTACAAATTCCTTTTTGTGGTTGTCTTTAATTAAATATGTTTAGCTGTTGCTAAGCAACATGTGGGTTGCTATGCTGAATATGAACTTAGAAAAAAGAATGGAAATATCATATAAGAAAAAAAAACTGTCTAGTGAAGACAAATCTTCAGATAGTGCTATATTCATACCCCAAAGGGTAGAAATCACACACAACTTTTTTAACCGTTGCTAAGCAGTATTTTTGTTGCTAGGTTGTTGCTAAGCATTTATTAGACTGAAATTGAAGTGACTTTTCATTTGAAACTTGAAGTAATTCCTTACCAAACAATTTCATTTGGAATTGTGCTAATTTGTACAGATAAAATAATTCATAAGTGATAATTTGGCTTATTAATAAAACCGTTGCTAGGCAACCTTCCTTTCACTGGAACATAAAATAATCATTGTTTTCTCAAGCTCCTATACAAAGGCTATCAATGATAAGAACAAAAACTTTACTTATTTGGGTAAAATATGTCAATTTCAAAATGTTCATTTTTCGGACGTCATAGTGACATCACATCTGACATTCTATTCTAAAGTGTCTACATTATATCATTTTATCCATTTATTAAAGGTAAATTTTGTAGTCGCATTTTTCTCAGGAACTACAAATCAGAGCATCTTGAAATTTGGAAACAACTTAATGTGAGGATGCTTCGCTGTGTATTTCGTTTTCATATTCATCATCGTCCACTGCCTGTTTACCGAATATTTATATTTTCTTACACATAATCATGATAATGGTCAAGTGTGAAATTTTCGTCGCATTGTGTTAAGAAACTACAAATTAGAGAATCCTGAAATTTACTGTCAGCTTCATGTTAACATGCTATGCTGAGTGATGCTCATCAATTTCCTGTAAACCGAATACTTATATTCATACATTTTTACAAATAATAGCCATGTATGACATTAGAGCTATTAGACATTTGCTATATACCTTGTGATGCGATTTCATAGATTCAGCGTTCATTAAATTCTTGTGTTTACTGATAATAAAGGTGGCGGGGGTATATCTTTGTGAGCAGTTGCTCACAGTGTGTCTTGTTCATGTTGTTTTTGTCACGATGTGCTCTTTTGAAATTGTATAAAATACTATTTCATTTTCTTTTTCAGTCATTGACATATCAGAACAGATGGTTTTGTAGCATTTCTGTAACTTATCCGTGGAAGTATTTATTCATGGTGATAGATTCTTGACGGAACATCAGTATGACGAATGAATTGAAACAGTTTCAAGAATGGGTTGAACTCAATGATGTTCGATCGGTTGATGGGAAGATAAATTCATCATCGAGGGATAAAATGGTAAAATTACTTAACACACAATTAAACGGGAAAACATGCATAGATATAGCTACAGGAAAGAATGTTGGCCTTGAAATGTGGAAGTTACTTTTAAATTGTTTCAACGAAAAAGAAATTTTCGGTAAAAATGTAAAATTAGACTCATTTGAACAGTTACTGCAGAGTCCTACAACACCGGGAAATGCTAATAGCTCATCTACTCCCTCGCATCAAATGCAAAAAGTGGAACATTTCCTGGATGAAACATGTAAGGTTGAAAATGAAAATATCAAACAATTGAGATTGCGGTTTCTTTGTGACCTCTGTCGGATTCAACCATCCTGGTTTTTTACAAGGTTTTTTACATCAAACGCATCAGAAGATGATGTTTTAAAGCTAGCAACAAAACTAATTGAATCGTACAAGTTTGATCTTCTTAACAGTATGGATATGACATACGGGCTATATCCAATGCACTGGGCTGTTATGACATCAAATATACCACTACTCCGTCTGTTTTTAAAGTTTCGCTGTGAAGTGAATTGTGAAGATCTCATGCTACAAGGTACACCCCTTCATCATATACAAACGATTAAGGGACACACAAATATTCTTGAAATAGTAAATATACTGGTAGAGCATAGAGCTGGATTGTATTTTGAGAGAAAACGTCGAGGATACACGGCTCTTCATTCCATTCTAATCAACTTGAGCATATCCGACGTAAGTTACTTTCTGTTAAACCACATTCAAGAAATTGTAACAGAAAGTATGCCGTATCCTGCCGTTCATGGGTTAATAGTACATACTGTTACGTCAATTTCGAAACATAAAAACGGACTAGAGGCTGAACGAAGTAGAGAAGAAATTCAAGTTGAAATTGCTGGAAAAATAAAATTCTTACACCAGAGAGGAATTGACATACACACGAAGGACATAAACGGTATGAATATTCTACACTATGCCTGTTGGTTTAGGTATACAGTGTTAGTGAAATATTTATTATCAGCCCCGTTCGTGAAGCGCGATCGGTTATTGGTTGGTGACAAATTTGGAAGAGGATGTTTGTTTTATGCTGTGGACTACCCAGCACTAAAAATATGGCCTGACGATGAAGGATCACTCACTCTTGAGTATCTACTTAAACAAAAAATCGATAGCAACAAGAACGGCTGTTTTCAACTCAATGTTGTTGATCTTGGCCATTTAGAATTTATCATCATCAATTTTTTGCGCTTGTTAAAGAAAAACGAGGCAATGCAACACATTGAATTATTCAGTAGAAAATTCAGAAACATCGGAAAACCGGTTGATCTTAAAAGCAGAAACAGTAAAGAAATATTAGGTCATGTTGAAGGTCTTGTAAACAAGTTGCATAATAGTTTGAATGAAGTTGTCCCTAAATATTTAGATACGGTTACGTTATCAGGAAGCGTAAGTGAGGACACTAAAATAAACCCACTAGATGAATTCGATTTTCTTTTCAAACTTAAAGGAATAAGTCAAGACGTGTCCGCTGGTAATTTCACTATTGGGGACGAAGTTTGCTTGAAATCAAGGACAAAACATGTATGTCACAATCAAACATTAAATCAGTATTTGTATGCTAACTTTAACAATAATGTTTACAATATGTTAAAACAAAAAACCTTCTGGGAAAACCTCCCATTTTATTGGCGAACATGTTATCATTTAGGAGGTAACCCGCCTGATGCATTGGTTGCACCGTTGTGTTTGAAACTGATCAGAGACAATCAACCTGATCTTGATGTGGACATAGATTTAGTACCTATCATTGCCTTAGATGATTTACCAGCATCAATGAAAGAACAGATTCCTCATGAAATAGTTGATTTCATAACAAGAAAGGAATGGAAATGGGATGTCATCCTCCGCGGAAAGTCGGATAATGCTCGATTATCATTCTCATCAATAGAAAAATTTATATTGAGAAGATTAAGGTCAGAAATAAAAGATGCTTATACCCTTGCAAAACGTTTACTTAGTCGTGTTGATAAAACAACAGAAATCGACCCAGAAATCATAACGTCATACATGTTCAAAAATGCACTATTTCACGAACTTGACCCGACGAATTCCTATTATCTTTTGGACAACGACAAAGATATTTGTCTCCAAACTCCAGAGTATATCAACAATGATCGGATATCATTTGTTGAGTTTTGGACGTTGAAAATATTGAATAGACTCATACAGCTGTTTTCTACGGGAAATGACGTGAAGATTTATTGTCGTCCATCAGTAGGTTTTCCTGACTGTCCATTTTTTGGGGATGATGATAATGATAATCCATACATCAAAGTCCTAAACAAATGTAAAGATTTTCTAAATAACCCTTAAATCGGCATTCGTGGATGTGGCATCTTTAAAATTGTGTTTATGACCACAAACGAGTTTTATATGACAGCAAGTTATCAGGATATTAATACACTGTTTTTATAAAAAAAGAAATACAGAAAATGCAAATGTTAGTTAAATAAATAGATAATAGGAAACTCAAAACTACACATATAGCTTATCTGCCATCAATCAGTAGAGGAAAGTGTCAGTTAGAAAACCGAAACGTTCAAAGAAACAGGTAAACTAATTCCATAATAGGATGAACATGGACAACATGAAAACTAAATAATTTTTTTAAAAACCTTAAAAACATTGAAGATAAGTGACGATTGGCTCACCACAGGGTACTGTCTTGATTATCACCCCATAGTTTCGCCGAATTGATTGCAACATTTCTATATTGTCATCATTGATTACTTAATACAAATGTTTTCTGAGAAAGTATGTTAAACTTGTGTGCATACACTTTGGCGAAACAGTTATACGAGAATACGGTTGAGTGGCGACTTCTGATGTATTGTTGGTAAAAACAGAAGCCAAAACATACGACAGACGGCAACATACATGAATGATTATTCAAATAATATATAAAGTAAATGTTCAACCAATATCAATTGATTTCCTTTAAATTTGTTAAGGTATTGACAAGAAACTGTTCGATTGTTTTATACAGTAAATTTCTTTCTTAAAGTATGATTTTCATTCTAAGAAGCCACATCCGTCTAAAGCATATAAAGGTACAGAAGAATGCCGAAAAATCTGCACAGATTGTCGACTATTTATTAATAAATCATACAAATTGAATTGTAATATCTTTTACATATGGCATCCTGACACCAAATAACACACGTTTTACCAAAATTGTCTATACTTTACCATGTATCACGCTACGCTTTTCTGGAGTAACTGCTATCATTTGTTTTCATCACTTTTTGTAGATGGCTTACATTTTATGAGGGTGTTTTGCAGATTTAGGTACCATCTGTTTGACGTGTTTTACTCAGTTTGAAACGGGTTTTTATTCGGCATTAAGGTCTCCTGAAACAAAAAAGAACAATACGCACCTTGTCTTTGCTTAAAAACTGAGCAAGGAGTTTTTTTGTCTAAATAAATGCATAGTGCTATAGTTGAGAGTGTTATCTATGCTATATTCGTTGGGATTCAGCAAAATTTGCGCTATATTGATTGGAATTTACAACCCGAACAGCTAATGCATAAAAGCAATAGTGAACAGTTGCATTATGGATAATTATAATGAACAATGGCGATACTAAATAATGAATAAAGAATACTGGTGATGATGAATACTTGTTATAATGAATAGTTAATAATGGAAACAATTAATAATGATATGCATAATAGAGAAAGCATAATGGCCATAATGAATAATGCATACTGGTCAAAATGAATAATGCGTACTGAACAATGATTTATGTATAATGCATAATGGCGTTAAGGAAAAGTGCATAATCAACTATACCGAATAGTGGCGATGATGACTAATTCATAATGAATAATGCATACTTTTAATATAATGCATATATGAAAAAGGTATAATGAAAAATGCATATGCATAATGCAAATTGCATATTAAAAATGCATAATGAATATTAAAATTGTATAATGACATATATAATGAAAAATGCATTTGCATAATGCATATTTCGTTATTCATAATGGATATTGTATTATGCATTTTGCATAATGAAAAATGTATTTTGCATTAGCATATTGCAAATTGAATTAGGTGTAATTGATATTGCATTATGCATTTTGCATTTGGAAGTTGCATCATGCATGTTGCATATCGCATTATACATATTGAATAATGCATATTGCCGTACGAAAATACATGATGAATAAGTGAAATGTATAAGGAAATATATATTATAGAAGTTTGTGGATGCCATGTGTAGTAATCGTTAGGGATAGAATAACTGGGTGGAGACTCATCCCTATATCAGGTAATTCATCTTCTGATTTGGCAGTGAAAAGTGATTGGAAGTTTTACATTCTTTTAAATCCTTTGCAATGGAACGCGATTTGTTCACCTGCTTAATGTGGTGTGGAAACCGATTATTTTTTTACGGGAAAGGGTACTTTAAAAGTCGGAATGCGAATATATATATGTTCAAACTCTTTTAGGTCATTTTAACAAACAAAAGAATTATGTCAATTGGACCTGCTTTGATACTATAACTGCCCTTGAATTTTTACTAGATAACATTTTTGTTCGCTATGGAGATTCCGTATATCGTCAGGTTATCGGAATTCCCATGGGGACTAACTGTGCACCACTATTTGCGGACCTGTTTCTGTATTGTTATGAGTTACAATTTATGACTAAAATCAGCAAAGACCCATCGAAACAACATCTGATTCAAAAATTTAATAACACTTTTAGATATTTAGATGATATATTGGCTCTCAATAATGACGACTTCAGTATGTACACTAAAGAGATTTATCCTGCCGAACTGACTTTAAATAAAGCTAATACTAACAATGAACACTGCCCTTTCCTGGATCTTGATATCTTTATCTTTAACGGGAAGCTTAATACCAAAATTTATGATAAAAGAGATGATTTTTCATTTCCTATTGTTAATTATCCATTTTTAGATTGTGACGTTCCCTTGTCGCCATCTTATGGTGTTTATATATCTCAACTTGTTCGATTCGCTCGTGTATGTAACAACGTATTTGATTTCAACGAAAGAAATCTCTGTATTACTGAAAAATTATTACACCAGGGTTTTCGATATCACAAACTAGTCAAAACATTTACTAAATTTTATCATCGGTACAAGGACATCATTCGTAAATATATATCAACATGCAGACATCTTATACGTTCAGGTATTTCACATCCAATATTTTATGGTAATATTCTTTACAAATCACAAAAATGTCGGCATTCACCTCTAAAGCTAACCAAACCTTTAAACAGACTTATTCGGAAATGATATAGTTACGATACTGTTGTCAAATCATTAAGGATTGCATATTTTGGTATTAATATTGATTCACTCATAGGGTCTTTGCATCGGAAATAAACACATTCTAAAACCAGTCGTTGGCATGATACGGGTTATGTTCTTCTCATATATTTTATGATGGTAGGATACTAAACCCCTAACGGGAGGGATTGTACTTGATTATCATATGATGAAGACATAATCTTTCAATCAGTTTAATTGAGGTCTGGAGCTGGCATGTCAGTAACTGCTAGTAGTCCTTTGTTCATTTGTGTATCATTGTCATTTTGCTTAGTTTCTTTTGTTACCTAATCCGACATCGGACTCGGACTTCTTTTAAACTGAGTTTTACTGTGCGTATTGCTATGTGTTTCTTTATTCTACATTGGCTAGAGGTATAGGGGGATGGTTGAGATCTCACAAAACATGTTTAACCCCGCCGCATTTTTGCGCCTGTCCCAAGTCAGGACCCTCTGGCCTTTGTTAGTCTTGTATGTTTTTTAATTTTAGTTCATTTATATGTTTTGGAGTTTAGTGTGACGTCCATTTTCACTGAACTAGAACACAATTTTATTTAGGGGCCAGCTGAGAACCACCTCCGGGTGCGAGATTTTCTCGCTGCATTGAAGACCCATTGGTGGCCTCCGGCTGTTGTCTGCTCTTTGGTCGGGTTGTTGTCTCTTTGACATATTCACCATTTCCATTCTCAATTCTATTCTTATATATTTAGAATAGGATACGTCTCCGAATATTTGACAGATTATATTTGATACAACTGAAGTAAACTTATATAATAATAAAATTCGGACATTAACAAAGATGTCAACGTCTACATTTATCAATATGAAAGTAACATGCGGATTATAAAGCATTTGTTTCATATTTAACAATCAGCATATTATGTTTGGCAATTCACAATACAAAAAAAATTTGTCAAGTAACGATTCAAAAACTTGTCAAGTTTCAATACAATATAAATGGAAACGCCAAGACAGATAAGATTTCTTACTATAATAACTTTAAGTGAATTGTTTAATTTGTATACACTCGACTGTTTATTTCTTGAAAGTAAAATATTTATTGACATATACATTATAATTTGAAACCATATATTCAACATCAAAGTAACCGATAAAATATCTATTCTTTATTCCTTAACTTTGAATGTACAATATTAAATTTTGATACATTTAGTATAAAACAAGTGTGGACACAGATCAGTGTGGATAGTATGTCTGAATGTTTGACAGTGTTTTATGACAAACAGAATTTTCTATGTTTTTCCCCATAGGGTTCTATGTTAAACTGTGTTCCACAGTGACATTCATCCTGAATATCAGACCAGTACCAAACACTAAAAATTAGCAGTGTCGTTTTTTCAATATTTTGTTTTAATGTTCAAGACTGTCATGGAGGAGACACTAATTGTATGGATTACCAAATGATTCTGTTAAAATATGTTCCACAACTTTGCTTTTGGATAACAGCAAAAACTCAAAATTAGTAGAGGAACACATTACTAGGTGCATTTCTGCATGATGTGATTTTAATATACGAGACGGTTTCTGAGAACCTGTATGTATGTACTTCTCGTATGTCCATTGTGGTGGTCATTTCTTACTTTGAACTGTAAATTAGTTTAGGATCATCCCAGTATCATAAGTAAAAGATTTCGTTTAAATGTTCGAAATTGTTTCTTAGAAGATGTCTAATAGTTCTACCTAGCTTCGAAATGGTTTCTTAGAAGATGTCTAATAGTTCTCTACCTGGCATGACGCTTGGGGCTAGATGAGCTAGAAAGTACACTTCTGTTATGTTACACGTGTATTTTAATTCTTTCTTTAAAAATTTCTTTTTCCTAGACTCTTTAAGGCCTGGTTGAAGTTATTTGATATAAAAGAAAATTTTACCAGTACGAAATAATTTTAATAACATGGTAAATCCAATTTATTGGTTTATGATTCTTAATTTCTAGAAATAAATTTTGACAAATAGTGTAGACTAAAATAAATATGAACTATGATTCTTTAGTATTTGAAATAAAAAAAGGTATTGCAGAATTATTCTTGTTTCAAGGTTTTTGTTATGTGGATAAAAATATAAATGGTACCTGTAGGATGCAGTTTTGTTGTGGTATAAAAATGAACAGTGCTGTAATTAACATTTATTTAACACAAATTAACAAATTAACAAATGAATGATAAAAGTTGAAAAATGAAATATAATTTTAGAAATGACTAGGCTCTATACCACTCGACCGCATCCGCTATATAAAAATATAACTTCAATAGTCGTAGTGTTGCCTTGTCACGTAAGGCGAAACTAGAGATAGACATAAGACATGTATTTTAAGCGTGTGTAGATGTTATTCTATTTTTTTATACACAATGTATTTTTTATTTGTCAGCAATCTAACTCAACAATTTTTTATATACATATTCAATATGGGATAATGATACAATTCATTATACAGTCACTTGAAATAAGTATATCATACAAACAAGTCTATATTTATGTTGTGTACAAGTTATCATTTTGTACAAATTATAATTTGTATTTTGACTTTGTAAAAATTGTAATTTGTACAAAAATTTGACTAAATTTCACTTTTAACTTGTACAATAATTTATAGTATGGATTTTGTTATAAAAAAAGCATTGATACACACTATAGAATTTGTATTTAATGACCACACAATAAACCTTATTTACAAAATACAAAAATACCCAGATGTAGACAGGAAATGTACTAAGTCTTGATACATGCATGTCAGTTAATTCTGATAGTACAAAAGAAATCGGCCCCAGTGGCAATTCTGATAGAATGATAAAAATTGTCCCCTGTGGCAATTCTGATAGTATAATAGATATTGGCCCCACTGAGAATTTTGATAGTATAATAGAAATTGGCCCGAGTAACAACCAGGATGACACTGACGTGCCAGAAAGCGTGCGTTGTCTGACTAACAGATCCAAGCTGAATATCTTAACACAGAAAACGAAACAGAAATTATCAGAACTTGCTGTGGTGGATAATGTCATTGTATCCGTTCCTCAGTATGATCGTGCCTCAATCGATCCTCGAAATATCTTAGGTGTAATTGTTGAATATGGAGATTTTGGGTTCCCCATCGGAATTTTAACAGGTTATTTGTCGAGAAATCAAATTGAAGCTGTTAAAGACACATCTTTATTCGCAGCAACGGTTCCTTAGCCTCAACTGTCGCTATGTGAATCAGTAAAAAAGCTTTCAAAAACTGGTGGTCAGTGTTTTCGTTCATGTAAATGCAAAGGGGAATGCAGATGTAAATGTAAAAAGCACAAGATGTTGTGCAATTCCCAGTGCCATAATTCACTCACATGCTCAAACAAATGATACAGAACTATTTTGTACTTTGTTAATAAGGTTTATTGTGTGGTCATTGCATTAAAATCCTATACTGTGTATCAATGCTTTTTTATAACAAAATCCATACTATAAATTATTGTACAAGTTATAAGTGAAATTGTAATTTGTACAAGCACTTTTTGTACAGATTACAATTTGTACAAAGTCAAAATACAAATTATAATTTGTACATTTTTTTGTA